GCCACTACTATGCTCAGTTCGATTCCGATAAGCTGGACCATCTCTCTATGGAGGTCGCTACCTTTGATGGCGACCTTGGTCTGGTCCGCGACCATATCCAACTGAAGTGCTTCGGTCCCCCTACTCATAGTTGCTTGGACTGCATTGTCATTCTACCCGAGGCCAAAGTTGTCTTCGCTGGTGACATTCTATTTGTTGGTATAGCCCCTATCATGACCCGAGAGTCAGCACAGAAGTCCTTGGATGCTCTGGCCTGGCTTGAGGAGCGTATTGATTCGTCATGGAAACTGGTTCCCGGTCATGGTCCTGTTACGTCTCTCGACGGTCTGCAAGCTGCTAAGCACTATTATCGGAGCCTTCAGGAGGCCGTAGACCAGGAGGGTTGTTCCTGTTTAGATAACCATACCATGTGTGGGTTGGACTTCTACACATCTCCTCCTGAAGAGCTCCGTGACTGGACGGAGCTGCAGCGGTCTATGGTGAATGCCTTTGTTGAGTGTGAGATGAAAGAGGGCAGAGATCTCACTGACGCCGATTTTACGAGACTCACCATCGACGCTGAAGTTTTAAAGGAACTCAGATCCCAATCGCAGTAGGAAAAATATTTCCTGATATTGTCGTTGTGTTCTGTTGTGTGTCTGATGATGATTTGCTCGTTTCTTTGCAATCTCCGTCGAGTTCCTGTGTTGGCCAATTTACGAAGGGATAGAGCAATGACTGATTCGCATTGCCACAGTTCCTGTAGTGATGATGGAGACCCTTTTGATTCATTATACGTTGATATTGAGGTCAGTACAGCCAAACAGGAGCCATCACTTTCACTGAGCCTCTGATGAGTGACAGATGAGAAGATGACTGAGGTGGTCGTCTCGCCGTATGTTTCATTGCTGTCGTCGAGTCTATCATGTGCTTCCTATAACTATCACTCAACTTGACCAACACTTGGAGGCCATTGGCGGTGCACCAGACGAGAAAGCACAGCGAGCTTCACGGTGTGCACCACCGTGAACTACGAATCGCAAGGGCCTCGGTTAGGAATCTGGTTGGTCCGTCTGGGGCACGCGGCTGAGCTCCACGTTTGCTGACACTCACTGGCCGGACTGAATCGTCCAGCAGTTGCGATAGATCGTCGAGAGAGCAAACTCGAGATAAAATGGGTCACGAGAAACCAAGAGTGGAGAGTTGATAGAAGTCTTCAATGCAGGTGATTGGAAGCACTCGGCAATCACCATAAAGTCGATGCAACATATCGAGGACGCGCTGTTGTATACCATCAACCTAAGATCCATCGTAGAGGTCATACTCGTATGTAGAGGCATGGAGGAAGTCACCTCTTGAGGAGGAGTGAAACCATCTTCATCACTACGGGCGACAATGACCAATCCTGGACGGTACTTGTAAGAGGAACTGAGCACATCCTCGATCTCCGCGATGGCATGAACGATTTCTTCCCGTGTCGACTTGTGAGCAGGCAGGGTTGGGCACTCAATAGGGACCTGACACAGTTCTCAGTGGCAGTCTGCCACTGACAGAGAGTGGTGAAGAGCTTCACTCGGAGCGGCGATAGTCACGATGCGATTCAGTGGTTTCTGCTGGAGCCGGAGGCAGCATTCATCCCTCGTGAAATTCACCCATTGAGCAGATAGATGCGCCATTATGTAGACAACTCCTCCGCCTTACAGGATTAAGGCATGAGAAATAGTCCAGGTCGATATCGAGTATCCAGGGAGCAGGGGTTGCAGCTGCTTTATGCTGGGGTAGATCCGGCGCTGTGGTGACCAGTAACTCGAACGAGCAGGATGGACTCTCTGGCTCGACACCCGAGGAAGGGTCGACAGCCTCGTCCTCAGCGGACCAGTACGGCAGCCCAGTCCACACCTGATAGGAAGATTATGTCGTAAGGTGACTCCTCCTCAATCACTGACTCGCATTCGTCCATCTTGGAAGCCCACCCAAAGGCCTCTATGATGGCCATCAGGTAGCTGGTCCGCCCAGGTTGGCCGACACCAAACAACTTCACCAATGTGTCCTTGTAGGACGGCAGGGAGGAGCCACGCTGATATCCCGTAGACGTCTGAACAGTCATCACTACTAGGGCATAGAGAGGTATTCTCTACCATTTTCGAGCTTCGTGTAGAGGTCGAGTTGATCTTCGAATATATCTTCTGACTCGATTGCCTTGGACGCCGCCAAATCGGGATGGGCATCCACATGGAGCACCTTGAAAGCAGCATTAATTACAGGAAAGTCCCCATAGCACTCACCTGGAGTTTCTGGTCGCCGGGTATCCATCCCCTTCTTACCGCCATGTGAACAGCAGGTAGGCCCTCCGTATGACTGTCTACGATGACGACAGGCAAAGGCGACGGCTCGGTCGTAGTATGGCGCTTACATGGCATGGTGGAAGAGCTGGTCAAAGGGCGAGGGATAAGCTTTGTTACGGTTCAACGCAGGGGACGAACACCTCACAGAAACCGTCAATTCTCAAGCAAGTCCTCCACATTGGAGTAGTCAACTCGTGCACTATGATCATCATCATGGACGTGGGCGTCCTCCTCCAAACCATGTAGTGTTGTCTGATACACTGGTAAAGTATCCTCCTGGGCCTCTGCAAGGCCCGCTGGAAGTACCTGGAGCCAGGCCATCGGACCAAAGGCACAATCGGGGACAGAGGGGCTACGACTAAGAATGCTAAGAAAGTAAGAATGAATCAGGTTCGACTTTCTGGTGTTTGAGCCTGTGTTAGTGGAACGCTTCGTATTCAACCAATAATTCAACCACCTCCATACGACACATCGACCGAGAGACCCCCTGTCGAAGTCGATCCTTGTACTCGCAGGTTAGACTGAACTTGTTTTACTTGTGCTACTGAGGAGGGCTCCTTACATGGATGTCCGCCTGGCCACTGGTCATCCCCCGTATTTGGGACGCGTACCCGCTCATGTGGGACTGCGGGAGGAATGCCTGCATTTCGAAGGTGTACTCATCCTTCAAGTCAGAGCTGGCCACAAACCCTCGCCGATGCCGGACTATCTCCGCGTACACTGGGCCACTCAACTGACAGTAGCCCATCCAGCTTACAGACGCCTTGGACGATCCCTACCGTTCCTCTGACGCTTGGAGGGCCTGATATGGTCAGGGACACTACTGGCTCTAGAACAATTATATGGCCATCACTAAGAGCCTGAGAAGGCAACCCATGACTCCTGATCTGGTCTACATTGGTCGAATCGACACCCCTCCCCCCACAAACATCAGCATTGGGGTAGCGCACCTGCCTCGACAGGTCTGTAAAGAGCTTCGCCAGGTGCATACGGAGTCCAGTGGGGTTATTAGCTTCAATTCGATGAATCGTCACCTGAAGCATAGCTGACTATCAGCAACCACGCCTGGCTAATGGACAGTAGACGGCGATCACCCGTGTGGCGGCGAACTCAGCATAGAGCCTAGGACCAGACTGGAAGCTGTCCTGCAGCCACTGCTCTATCTTCTCTCGAAGGACATTGTGGACCTTCATCGACCCACCGTCGATCTCCTTCGAGAAGACCACTTCATTAGCATAGGCTTCCTCTCCAGCTATCTCGCCCCCATACACATTAGGTAGAGCACGAGCAGGCCCGAGGGACACATCCAAGTGGACGCCGCTTCCTCCGGTTTCGTCATGGAAGCTCATCCGCACCTCGCCAGCCACATGCTCACGGTAAGTGACCTGACTAGACCTGCTGTTGAGGAGTGTCAACGTAGCCTTCGATACATGCAGCTTGCCCATCTCCACTGGTATGTTGAACTCGTCCCGGATCCTATCTCGACACAGCTCTAGATGGAGGTCTCCCATACCCCATACTAGAATCTGCTCTGACTTGTCTTTTCGGAATCTGAGATGGGTGCATAGAGAGCCATAAGCAGGCAGAGCTCTGTTGGGTACACAGGTATCGGCGACTGAGGAGGCCACTCACTCAATGCTGGGGTCCTCAAGCATCATCCGATCCAGTGCCTTGATCAACTCCTGGTCCTGCTGTAGGGTCGGGGTGGTGAAGGGAGCAAAGCACACACAGCTTGGCTGGCAATAAGAGAGGAGTAGTGGGAGGGGGGATGCATATCGCCTTACTGCATGGGCAGCGGCATCCTTCATGCGACTGGCTATCACGAGCGACAACTTCTTCAGCTGTTCGGCACTGCCGCTAGTGAGGATATCCCCACTACGCACGTTGTTCAATCCAATCACGACCCCGACCTCTCCACCTGACAGAAGGCATCTCTAACTGAAGCGCCGAGTCGGGGACTATGACTACCTCTGAGCTCCTTACAAGGCTCGATTTCAGACGCCTTCGGATGGAATACCTCCCGGATGTTCTCAACAAGCTTCCCCTTCCCTCTAGCCTTCCGCGTTTGATTCGTCACTGCAGCCCGGCCTTTGAGGACGCCAGAGAGGACCCTAACGTGAGGCAGCCAATCCGGTCAGTCACCAGACGAGAATGACCACCTGCAGTAGACTATATTGCTGTTATCCTTCTCCTCTCTCCCCATTGGTGGCAGCACTTTGAAAGCCTCCATTAGGACCCCGGTCTCCGTAGGATCGGGGACGTGCTCTGGCCTCGCTACATGGGCATCAATGGGATTGGGCAAGTACAGAGCCACAGCGTCAAGCAAATGCTGGAGGGAATAGTTGAGGTCCTCACTGCTCCAATTTCCCTACCTGTATGCCCTGATTCCCGAGAGCCGACCCGAAGACCACCGGCGATATGGTCCTCTGCAAGCACTGACGCCTGACTGCATCCGCAACTATCGCGGGGTCCTCCTCCGATCGATCCAAATATGCTGTGCCGAAGTCCTCATCCAATATTGCAAGGGTCTCAAGGAGCTCATTCCTAGCCTCCATCACTTCCGTCAGCTCATCATCACTAATAGTATCCTCTACCACCGACCTACCATGCTTCCCCTCGAACGAGTAGGCCTTGGTGGTGAGGAGATCCACGACTGCACGTAGGGCTCCACGTGGCTTCCACAAGGGATACTGTATTGCCAATGGCCGGGCCTTGCTGGGCGGCAGCCTTGTATTCAAACTGCTCATATTCATCTTATACGTGCAGCCTTCACGGTCCAACTTATTGACAAAGATAAGCCTCGGTAAATGCTCAGTCTGTCGCCATATTGTACGAGTCTGGGCCTGCACCCCCGCCGTACCATCTATTACTACTACAGCACCATCGAGTACCCTAACAGCCCTCTGGACCTCCGCTGTGAAGTCCACGTGACCAGGGGTGTCCACTAGATTGACTATATACCCTTTCCAAGCGAAGGTCGTCGCCGCGGCCCTTATGGTGATACCCCGTAGCTGCTCCTGCTTCATATAGTCCATTTGAGTCGTGCCCTCATCGACCGACCCTGGAGCCCTGATCTCCCCAGCATGCACCAACATTCGCTCAGTAGTAGTTGTCTTGCCCGCATCAACGTGAGCGAACACTCCTATGTTCCGCGTTGCCTTCAGCCATCCACTCGTCTTCGTGGAGTCCCCCGTGGAAAAGTGTCTCCGTTGGCGCACAAGAGGGGCCCAGTCACACATCTGCCGGTACACTTCTCGAGGGCTCTTTGAAATGGTCCCCACTCTCCATGACCACAACCTTGCCCCTCGCGAAGGGATACCCATCAAGTGACTGAGACCACACTACCCTAAGGGAAGCCTGAGCTCAGCTACACTGTTGTCCACCAGAAACAAGCCTATTCGAAACATCATGCGGTGTACCAATTATCCTATACCCTCTCCTTAGAAATCGTCATAGAGCTCGTCGTTTAGCGTATCGAGATCGATCTCTGTATAGCCTATGGGGAGGGCCTAGGACGAAGCATCGGTCCCTAAGGGCCGACTATTGCATACCTGTAGGGTTGTCCGCCCCCCTGTTGTGGCCCTGACATGGGCTGCGTATCCCTTCATCTTCGACTGCGGCACGTAGGCTACCAATTCACACGTGAAGTCGTCATGGGACTCCACAGGGTCCACGGATGCTCGTCTGTTACGTATCAAATCACTCCGGACGGCTCCACTCAGCTGAGCACAAGTGCGCTATCGACCCCGCCCTCCAGGATCACCTCCCCCTCCCTACTGTCCCCCGCACTGCCTCCGGTCCGCTGACCGTCACTTGAACTACCGGCTCCAGTACCTTCACCGACTTCTTCTTTTTGGCCTGTGGAGTAGAGAGACAGTAAACAACCAGAGAATGCTGAAAGCTTTAGACGCACCATTTTCATAAGGTAGTTGAACATCCTGATGACCTCGTCCTTCAGTACTGCAGCATCGCCACTTTCGGGACACCACACCACGTCAGACAGCGTCACCTGATACCAACGATCGTCGCCATACAAGGAGAGGGAGGAGTCTCTCACTTGGGTGGCGGCCATCTTGGACTTCTTCATAGGGCCAATGGTGAGAGCGTCAGACAGTAGTTCCCTCAACTCCTCCTTCAGCCCTTCCGGCAGGGCAGTCTCTGCATCTACCCCGCCCACTATGAGTACCTCATTGACGTAGGCCTTCTCCCCCGCCTCCTCGCCGTCCTGTAACACTGGAAGGTCCCTGGTCGGCCCGATTGACAACATAAACTTCATAGTCAGGTCGAGATCGTGGGCAGCAGGGGAGGAGCTAGTGAGGGCAAAGGCCTCTGAAAGGTACTCCCTATACGTTACCTGAGGGAGGGAGTAGACGATGGGTCCTGACAATAGCAAGACAGACTCGCAAGTCCCCCATCCTAGCGGGTATGTGGTATTCAGTCTCTATACGGTCACGCAGAAGGTCCAAATGGAAGTCGCCCATGCCCCATACAAGGAACTGTCCCGTGTTAGGGTCCACTTTGAAGCTGAGAAGAAAGACCTTCCTCGCTTACAAAGACCCATCCCACTACTCAAGACTCGGGTCTTCCAGCATCATCCTCTGTAGTGCCGTCTTGAGCCTCTCATCGTTGTCCCTGGTATCACTCGTAAACGTGGCGAAGCATACCC